GCCGTACTGTACTCTAATATTCTCATCTTGTCTCTGGGAATGTCAGCAATAGCGGAATTTGCACGTTACGCTTGGTCAGGTTACGTTCGATTAGGTGTGGTCAGGATAGGTTTGGTCAGGAATGCTTTAACTCTTGTGCTGTGCAATGATATTCGGTTGATTTCTGCGCTCTACTTTGCTATAGCATGTCCTGCTTGTCTCTGGGGACGGCAGCAATAGCGGTCTAGGCACGAGAGGTTGAGTTATGCTACGTTTGGTTATATTCAGTTTGTTTGTGTTAGGTTTGGGCAACTGCCACTTTTCTGATCTACACTGCGACTGTATGGTCATCTGCGCTCTACTCTCCACTAATGTGATCTGCCTGGCTCTGGGGAGGCCACCAATATTTTCGAGGCACGTTAGGTTGAGTTAGTTTACATTTGGTTATATCGCGGTTGGATAGGTTAGGAGAAGGTAGCTGTGACTTTAGCGCTATGGTTTGGTATTGGGTGGATTTCTGCGCCCTGCAGTGCTCTAATGTCTTCAGCTTTGCCCTGGGAATGCCAGCAATGGTTTTCTCGGCTAGTTATGTTGAGTCAGGCAACGTTCGGTTAGGTTTTGTCAGGTTATGTTTGGTCAGGATAGCTTTAACTTTTCTGCTGGTTACTGATATTCGGTGGACTTCTTCGCTCTACTCTGCTCTAGTATATCCTGCTTGGCTCTGAGGAGGCCAGCCATAGTGGTCGCGGCACGTTCGGTTGAGTCAGGCTACGTTCGAATACGTTGGGTTCGGCTAAGATTGATATGGATAGATTTGACATTTGTGATGTACACTGCTACTTGTTGGAAACCTGCGCTCTACTGTCCTCTAGCATGTCCTGCTTAGCTCTGGGGAGGTCAGGAAAGCCGGTGTCGGCACGTAAGTTTGAGTAAGGCTACGTTTGGTAATGTTCTGTTTGCTGTGGTTAGGCTTGGGTAGCATTGCCTTTTCTGATACACACTGCGATAATATAGATTTCTGCTTTCTACTCACAACTAACGTGTTCCGCTTGACTCTGTGGAGGCCAGCAATAGTGGTTGCTTCACTTTAGGTTGAGATACGTTACGTTTATTTATGTTACGTTTGGTTGGGCCTGGAGAGTATACATATGTCTTTAGTGCTATAGTCTGTTAATAGGAGGATTTCTGCTCCCTAGAGTGCTTTAATTTTGTCACCTTGGATCTGAGAATGCCAGCAATAGTAGTCACGGCGCGTTATGTTGAGTCATGTTATGTTCGGCTATGTTGGTTTAGTCCATGTTTGGATAGGGTGGCTTTAACTTTTACACTGTACACTGCTATTCGGTGGACCTGTGCGTTGCACTGTGCTTTAGTATGTCCTGTTTGGCGCTGGAGATTGCAGCAATAGCGATCTCGGCACGTTAGGTTTAGCCACACTATGTTTGGTTATGTTCTGTTGGATTGGGTTAGGCTTGAGTAGCTTTGACTTTTCTGATATACAGAGCGATTATACGGATTTCTGCTTTCTACTCTCAACTAACGCGATCCGCCTGGCGCTGGGGAGGCCAGTAGTTATGGTCGCGGTCACGTTATGTCAGTTAGATTACGTTTGGTTATGTTACGATTGGTTTGGTTAGGAGAGGGTAGAATTGACTGAAGTGCTATAGTCTGCTATTAGGTGGATTTCTGCGCCATACAGTTATCAAATATTTTCAGCCCGGCTCTGGGAAGGCCAGCAATAGTGGCCATGGCTCGTTATGCTGAGCAATGTTACGTTCGGTTAGGCTGGGTTAGGATAGGTATGGGTATGATGGCTAAACCTTTTGTGCTGAACACCGCTATTCGGTGGACTTCTGAGCTCTACTGGGCCCTAGTATATCCTGCTTGGCTCTAAGGAGGGCAGCAATAGCGGCCTCGACGCGTTAGTTTGAGTTATGCTATGTTTGGATATGTTGTTTTGACATGGGTTATGTTTGTGTAGCTCGGTCCTTTCCGATATACACTGAGATTCTATGGATTTCTGCGTTCTACTCCCCACTAATGTGTTCTGCTTGGCTCAGGGGAGGCCAGCAATTGTCGTCGCGGCACGTTGCTTTGTGATGGGTTACATTTGGTTATGTTACGATTGGTTAGGTTCGGAGTGGATGCCTTTGACTTCAGTGCTATATAATGCTGTTGGGTGGACTTCTGCGCCCAACGGTGCTCTAATATTTTCAGCTTGGCGATGGGAATACCATCAATAGTGGTCTCGCACGTTTAGTTTTTTCAGGTTACGTTCGGCTTGGCCGGGTTACGATATGTTTGGTTATGATTGCTATACCTTCTGAGCAGTACACTGCCGTTCGGTGGGCTTCTGCGTTCTACTGTGCCCGAGCATGCCCTACTTGGCTCTGAGGAGGGCAGCAATAACGGTCTAGGCTCACTAGGCTGAGTTATGCTATGTTTTGATTATGTTGCGTTTGTTTTAGTTAGGTTTGTGTACCTTTGACTTTTCTTACATATACTGCGATTATACGGATCTCTGCGTTCTACTCTCAGCTAATGTTTTCGGCTTGGCTCTTGGAGGGCCAGCAATAGTGGTCCTGGCACGTTAGGTTGAGTTAGGCTACGTTTTCTTACGTTACGTTCGGCTAGGTCGGGATAGGGTAGCTTAGACTGTTGTGCTATACAATGCTCTTCGGCGGATGACTTCTCTCTACATTGCTATAGTATACTCTGCTCGACTCTCGGGACGCCATCAAAATTGGTCGCAGCACGTAAGGTTGAGTTAGAAAACGTGCAGTTATTATAGGTTACGGTGGGTTTGGGTAGGATAGTCTTGACTTTCGCGATTTACACTGTAATTCGATCGATGCCTGCGTCCCGCGTTGCTCCACTAGCATCTGCTTGTTTCGTGGGGGGGGGGGCAATAATGGCGGTCGTCTAACGTTCGGCTGCGTTTGGTCACCCTTGGTTAGGCTATGTTAGGTTAAGTTTGGTCAGGATGGCTCTGACTTTTGCGCTGTACACCGCTTTTCGTTGGATATCTGCTCTCTACAATGCACTAATTTACTCAGCTCGTCTCTGGGGAGGCGAGCAATTGTGGTCGTGGCACGTCAGGTCGAGATTTGTTACATTCGGTTAGGTTGGGCTAGTTTCAGTTTGGTCAGGATAACTCTGACTTTCGGGCTATACACTGCTATCAGGAGGATTTCTCTGATCTACTGTGCTCTACCATATTATGCTTTTCTATGCGTACGCCAGGAGTAGTGATCGCGGTTTGCATTGTTGAGCTATGATACGTTTCTTGGGTTAGGTATGGTCAGATTTGGTTACGATATTTTCAACTTTTGTGATACAAACTGCTATTCGGTGTACTCCTGCGCTCTACATTGCTCCATTATTCACTGCTTGATTCTGTGGAGGCAAGCAATAGTGACCGTGGCACGTTGGGTTGTGTAATGTTACGTCAGGAAAGGTCAGGTCATGCTACGTATGGCTACTATAACTCCTACTTTCGCGCCGTGCACTGCCATTCGCTGTATTTCTGTGATCTACTCTTCTCTACTATATTCTGCTTGGCTCTGGGGAGGCCGGGTGCAGTGGTCGCGGCACGTTGCTTTGAGCTACGCTACGCTTTGTTATGTTATGTTGGGTCAGGATTTGTTAGGATATCTTCGGCTGCTGTGCTATTCACTGCAATACGGTTTATTTCTGCGCAACACTGTGCTCTAGTACATTCTGCTTGCCTCTGTGGAGGCCAGCAATTGTGGTCTCGCCATGTTAGGTTGAGTTATGCAACGTTTGGACATGCTACGTATGGTGTGGTTCGGATAGAGTAGTCTAGACCTTTGTACTGTACGCGGCCGTCCGCTGCTTTCTGCGCTCTCCTGTGCTCTATCGTATTCTGCTTGGCTCTGGGGTTGTGAGCAGCAGTGGTTGCGGCACGTTAGTTTGAGTTAGCTTATGTTCCCTTAGATTAAGTTAGGAAGGTTCGGTTAGGATTTCTTTGACTTTAGCGCCGTAAACTGCAATTCGGTGGATTACTGCGCTCTACATTGCTCTACTATGCTCAGCTCGTCTCTGTGCGGCGAGCAATAGTGGTCGTGTCAAGGCAGGTTGCGTTAGTTTACGTTTGGCTAGGTGAGGCTAGGATAACTTTGGTTAAGATTCCATTGTATTTCATGCTGTTGAGGGCAGAAGCTGGGGAGGGTTCTGGTGTAAGGTGTCCGCCAGAAACCACGATGAAACTGATGATCCCTATAGTTGCAAAGCCGAGCTGCGCAGTGCGGGAGACTTCGGTGAAGTTGTAGGGCCCGATCCGGCAAGTCCACTTACCTCGCCTCCTCGTTGGTGCCCCCGGGGTCCAGTGGGTGGTGTCCCATGCGTTCGCGCATGCCACTGGATGCGAAAGAGGGAGTGGCATCGGGCCATGGAGACCTTCGGTTGGATCTCATATCCATGCCAGACCTGAAGTGGCCCAAGAGAAATGCGCCAATACGGGTATCTCCCCGGGCGTACTCCTAAGCCTACTAGGGTCATGCGCGGGTTGACTACCTCCGCTGGTTGGACCGGCTCATTTCTTTGGTATGATGATGATCTAAATTCGCACCCACCATATGCCGCTATATCAATAAATGGACCAGGTACGGCAAAGCTGCGCATTGGCGCCGAGAAGCTTGTGAAACAGTAGTTGTCCTTCCTGCAGGTCGTAGAGGTCAGCCCTGAAATAAGAAGCAAAGTGATATCCAGGAAATTATTCATATCCTGGAATGCATGTAAAGTCCGGAACTTCATCGCCGTCAGCAGTTGCTACATGTGCCAATGCTTCGGGCATGTAGCGAAGCACTGTCGGCAGAAGCACGACACCTGCGGTCATTGCACTGAGACCGGGCACGACACAAAAGCGTGCCCAACAAAGAAGGATAACGCTATATGTGTAAACTGCAAGAGAAGCGGTAAGAAGAGCGATCACGGAGCCTCCAGCGTGAACTGCCCTTCGTACAAGGCCGCACTGGGGAGGACAGTCTCAAGAACCGTCTATGGATAAGAAGAAAAACGGTCGAACGGAGGAGATAAGAATCCTGCAGCACAATATGCAACGATCAATAAACGTGCCCCACGTGGTTAGGTCGCAGATGGAGCTAACGGGCGCAGATATCATACTGATGCAGGAGCCCTACACCATGGAATGCAACATACCTGGATTTGGGACGAGCGTCGCGATCGTGTGTCGCGGAGATACGAGCGCCCCACCCCTCGCGGCGGTGGGAATCAGAGGAAACCAGATCTCGGCTCTCGAAGTCGCGAGTTTGAGCACGAGACACTGCGCTTGTGTACAGATAAACAATGGAGACACCGAGGTATGCACGGTCAGTCAATACTATCCGCCGTCGGAAAATTTTGAAATCGGCTTCGCGCAGTGGATAAGGTGTTGACGTACCTGCAGGGCAAAAGGTTCATTGTCGGTGCGGACGCCAACGCCAAGTCGCCCCTGTGGTTCAACACGGAGCTCGACGGACGCTGCGAGACCCGCGATGTCCTCTTTGCCCAGCACGGTCTGTTGGTGCTGAACAGGCCGTGCGTCGTCACAACGTTTGAGACAACGCGAGGGAAATCTATCATCGACGTGACGCTCGTCACTCCGGAAGCACTACCGCTCGTGCACGACTGGAAGGTGCACGAGGACGGAACCTCCAGCGACCACCGGATACTGGAGACGCGACTTAACCTCAAGAAGAGGAAAGCACTGCCACCACCACTGCCACCACGCTACCACACCAGGAAGGCCAAGTGGGAAAAGTTCCTCAAGTTCATCATGGAAGAGAAGAGGAACCTGTCCGAAATGGTAATCAGGTGCCAAGAAGGAGGTACCAGGGGACCAAGGACCCCGCAACGAGGGAGCTGGAGAAACAGCGCTACCGCACAGCACGAAAAAGGTACACCAGAATGGCGACGAACGCGAAGATACAAAACTGGCGCCAGTTCGTCACCGATGAAGGAAACAAAGAGCCCTGGCGCATTGTCTACAAGACTGCCCTCGGGAAACTGAGGAGAGAAGAGGCGACGTGCGCACTCCGCACGCCGCAAGGAGAAACCTCGAATTGGCGATCCACGGCGGAGGCGATGTTATCCGCGCTCGTTCCAGATGGCGACGTGGAAAAAGACACGCCCGAGCATCTGTGGATCCGAGAGGACTCCAAGATCGCCCCGGAAACAGGAGACTGCCCCCCATTCGGACACGAGGAACTGGACAGCACGATAGCGCGTCTCAAGGGAGGCAAATGGCCTGGCCCTGACCGAATCGAGTCGGAGTTAGTTCAGGAGGCATGGATCTCTATTCATCAAGAGCTTCTGAATCTAGTCAACGCCAGTTTGGAGTGGGCATTCTTCCCGAAGAGATGGAAGATCGGTAACGTTGTTACTATTCTCAAGGGACCGGACAGAGACAGAAGTAGCCCAAACTCATAGAGGCCGATATGCTTGCTGTCAATGATTGGCAAGCTGTTGGAGCGACTAATGGCGAAAAGGATAGCCCCACTCTTCCACGATCATATACTGTCCTCTGAGCGATAGTTCGGATTCCGTCCTGGAAAATCAACATTGGACGCAATTGTGAAGCTTCGAGGAGCAATAAATGAGAAGAGCGAGTGGAAGTACATTTTAGCGATCGCACGCGACATTTCGGGTGCCTTCGATAATGTGCGGTGGCATAACGTGCTCCAAGAACTGAAGCGAAGGAACTGCGCGCAGAACTTGCACAAGCTGACGCAAAGCTACTTCACGGACAGGAGAGTCCAGCTGATAGGGAAGCACGTATCTGTCGAGAAGCAAGTAACAATGGGTTGCCCGCAAGTGTCGATACTAGGACCCAGCTTCTGGAATCTCGTTTTCGACAACTTGCTGGCGCAACTAGAGTCCGAGGAGACCCAATGCGAAGTGGTTGTGTACGCCGACGACATAATAATATTGGTCGGAGGTAACTCGAGGCGAGAGGTGCAATCAGCGGTCACAGCGGTCTCTACATGGTGCAACCGCAGGAGGCTAGCACTGTCGGCCGTGAAGGAGGTGGTGCTGTTGGCGAAGGGGAAGCTCGATGCCGTACAAACGCCAACAATTCGCATCAACGGGAGAAGTATCAGGATGCGCCCATCGATCAAATACCTAGGCGTTCAAGTTGAACGCGGTCTGAGGATCGAGAAGCACGTGCAAGAAACAGCGCACAAGTGCAGAATAATGTTCTATAGCCTTGCAAATGTGGCCAAGGTGAACTGGGGCCTCGGACGGGGAGCCTTAAGCACCCTGTACAGGGGGCTCTTTGTCACGATCGCCACGTACGCCACAGCCGGTTGGAGCGACCTATTGAACCTGAAGACAAAAATGATTCTCGAGAGATCGCAGAGGATGGCCCTGCTTCAGGTCACGAAGGCATACCGGACAATTTCGACAGAGGCTCTTCAAGCCATAGCTGGGGAAATGCCTAACGACCTGGTGGTTGAAACGCGCGCGCGGGTAGACGCTGAAAGGACGAAATCCTCTAACATAGTGGAAACAAAGCGGCGCCTACGGGACGAAGCCATGGCCACTTGGCCGGAGCGTTGGCGAACGACAGAGAAAGGTCGAACAACATACGCTTACTTCAGCAGCGTCCACGAGAGTGTCAAGTATAAATGGATCCATGTGGACCACCATGTGACACAGCTCCTCAGTGGCCATGGAGACTTCAATAGCAAACTGAAGTACTTTGGCTGCAGCGATACGGAACTGTGCGACTGCGGTAAAGAGGAAACGCCGAGGCACATCATAGAAGAGTGCTCACTCTAAGGTGAAAGCCGGTGCGCACTGAAAGAAGGACTCGACGATCACAAATTCAGGTGGCCAGTATCCTCACGTCGAGAAAGGCGTTTCGTCACTTTCGGAAGTTAGCTCGCGACGTACTCCCTGCCAAGGGAAGAAATGGAGGGAAAGAATAGAGGGAACAACTTCAAGAGGAAAATGTGGTGGCGAAGGGAGAAGACGCGGTGTGGAAGGAGAAGAAGAAATTAGAAGCAGAGGACTAAGAAGATGCACAATGCTAGCACAAGAAGGACCCAATCGGAACAGGACCAACCACTCCTCAGGAGGAAGCAGCCAACTTGGACATACAAAGAAGATGGCCAGACAGGATGACAACGAGAAGCACCGGAGGAAAACAACAGCAAGGGAAGGGAGGAAAGGCAACTGCGACCGTCACAGCAGGCGGTATTCAAAGACGGATACCAGGACGGTGCAGCTATATCGGAGCACGCCATCCTGCTGTGACCGAGCGAAAGCTGGCAGCTCCGCCTCCACGTGGCCCCCGCTGGTAACGAGGCTGCGGGCTTCAAGACAACCTGGAGCCACGGCCATGTGAGCTGCTTCCCGCAAGGGAAGTTCCAACTTGTCCCATGATTCTTAAATGGTGAGGGCAGGATTTTTCCAAGCCGCGTATTCAACACCTACACACGCGTTCCCCTGCAGCGGTGACGCTAGAAAGTACAATAACATCTTTTTCGCGAAGCCGTTATAAAGTATTTGCTCGAGGTAAGGCGCGGTCGCCAGATGGCGGGCCACGGTAACGCGCACAATACTTGTATTTCATGCAATATGGTGTTACCAGGCGGATCTCTGTGATCTAGTATGCTCTACTACATTATGGTTGCCTCTGGTGAGGACATTAGCCGTGGTCGCCGCACGTAATATTGAGCTATGCTACGTTTGGTTAAGTTTGGTTAAGACAGGTTAGGTTAGTATATCTATGGCTTTTGTGCTCTACATTGGAAAGCGGTGGGTTTCTGCGCCCCGCTGTGATGTAGTAAATTCTGCTTCGCGGAGGGGAGGCCAGTAACAGTGGTCTCGGCACGGTATGTTGTGTCAGGCTGCATTTGATGAAGTTAGGAATGGATAGTTCAGACTTTTGTGCTCTACACTGCTATCCGCGAATACCTGCTCTCTACGGCGTTCTGATATTTTCTGCTTGACTCTGGCGAGGCCACCAATGGTAGTCTCGGCACGTTATGTTGAGCTCTGCCACGCTTCGTTATGTTACGTTTGGTGAGGTTAAGATACGGTAGCTTAGACTTCTGTGCTATACACTGCTGTCCTCCGACTTCTGCCCCCAACAGTGTTCTGACATTTTCTGCTTGGCTCTGGGGAGTGCAGTAATTGTTGCCTCGGCGCATTAGTTGTGGTTAGGCTACGTTTGCATATGACATGTTTGGTTACATCAGGACAGATTTGCTTAAACTTTTGTGCCATTCACTGCTATTCGTTGGATTTTAGCGATCAACATTGCTGCAATATACACCGCTCGACTCTGGGGAGGAGAGCAATAGCGGTCGCGGCACTTTATATTGGCATCGGTTATGCCTTGTTAGGCTATTTTAGGCTAAGTTTCGTTAGGGCATTTTTGACTTTCTTGCCGTACAGTGTTGCTCGGTGGATTTCTGTGATCTACAGTGCTCTGCTGTATTCTGCTGGGCTCTGGGGATGCCAGCAGCAGTGGTAGTGGCACGTTATATCGAGCTATGCTACGTTCGGTTACGTTAGGTTATGTCAGGTTTGGTTAGGAAAACTTCGACTTTTATGCCGTACGCTGCTATTCCGTGGTCTTCTGCGCTCTACGTTGCTCTACAATACTCTGCTCGAATATGGGGATGGGTGAGGTGGCACGTTACGTTGAGTTATGTTATGTTTGGTTATGCTAGAGTAGGTTAAGTTCGGTTTAGATAGCTACGTATTTCGTGCTATACATGGTTGTTCGGTGGATTTCTGTGCTGTAGTGCGCTCTACTATATTCTGCTTGGCTCTGGAGATGCCAACAGCAGTGGTCGCCGCACGTTATGTAGATATACGCTACGTTTGGTAAGGTTAGGTTCGGTTAGGTTAGGCTTTGGTATCCTCGACATTTGTGCCATACACTGCAATTCGGTGGATTTCTGCGCTCAACAATACTCTACTATACTCTACTCGACTCTGGGGTGGCGAGCAATAGTGGCAGTAGCACGTTGGTTCGGGTTATGTTATGGTTGGTTATGTTATGTTAGGACATGTTTGGTTAGGATAGCTTTGACTTTCGTGCTATACACAGTTATTAGGTGGATTTCTGTGTTCTACTGTGCTCTATTTCATTCTGCTTGGCTCTGTGTAGGCCAGGAAGTAGTGGTCTCTGCGCGTTGGGTTGAGATGCACTCCGATTGGAGTCTTCAGGTATGGCCATGTTTGGTTACTACATCTTCCACTTTTGCTCTATGCACTGCAATGCGGTGGATTTCCGCGGTCTACTGTGCACCAGTATATTCTGCTTGGCTCTGTGGATTACAGCAACAGTGGTCTCGGCGTGTTATGTTCAGATAGTTTACATAC